GCAGGAGGCAGGTTGATCAATGACTCATCATTGATGTTTCTATCTCTCTCTCCCCCTCTTTTCCTCTCTCTGAAATCAATAAAGATATACTTAAAAAAAAAAATGTAGCAGTAAACTGGCACAATTTTATGCTATAAATGTTTACTTGTGGAATTCCTTGTGAATTTGTAGCCTTAAGAGGTGGGTAAATAAGTTACAGAAATGTGGAAATGATTTCACGGTGATGGTTTTACTTTTACTGTGGCATATATGCAGTGATTTATCTAGTAGACTTCTTGAACATCTGTGTATCCTAACAAAGCAAGGAAAATCAGGTCAGTGGTCAGTAGACAAAATATGGGTGCTAAAAGTCTGAAATTGTATTCCTTGTTCTGTAATTGTTATGGACAGATTCAGTAACAGCATACTTCTGTTGAGGCTTACTAAATTCAGTTGCTGTGTTAGGTACTTTGCATACATGGACTTCACAGTCTAGAAGAGAAACACACAAATGATCTCTGCCCTAACGTCTTAAGTGCTATAGGAGTGATAGCGCCACAGTGCTATAAGGGAATAGAGTTTCCATACATAAGACTTTGTCAGACTTTAAATGTTTACTATTTCATGGGATTTTGAAAAATTCAGACATTAGGAATGATTGACAATTTCTATATTGAGAAAGTATTCTCAATGAAGAGCCAATAGTTTGAAACCCTAGGGAACCCATTTTTCCATTATTAACACATTGTTTTTTTGTAAAACATCCTCTAATAATATGACTTCTACCAAATGGGAGAAAAATTCCTTTCCTTATTATAGTTTAGATACTTAGCAGGAACCGAGTATCATTTGTACTTAGAAAATGGGAATCAAGTTTTCATTCAGAGGGATATGCTTGTAATATAGGAAAGGTGCAGTTATGATTACATGTGTCTAGAAAGTCAAACAATGAGTTAGTAGTACAATGAGTGTTGATACTTTCCTCCCAGCCTTTTCCCCAAACTACTTACGTAGTTATGGCAAGGTGATGAAGCTAAAGAGCTGTGATACGATCATGAGTTCTAGAAATAAAAATAACCCCATGTATATTGGAATTTAAGCTAAAAACTAGTCTTTATCAGATAAATGCATTTAGTGACTTTTTAAGATTCATCTACAACAAAGGTGGAAATAAATACTTGGGAATTGAATGTTTTTTACTAACTTGATTAGCTAATGTGCTAATTGGAGACTTTTACATTTTAATAACCATTTTCACTTGTTTGTTGAGTTAGGCTGATAACTCTGATATTTCAATAAATGTGAGTTATGTATAATGTTTTATATTAAATTTCGCTCACTGTATTTTGTGGAATAGAATATAAATCTCTTAGCTAGGAAAATTAATAAAATGATTGCTAAATGTTCAACCTGTGGGTTAAGGACCGGCTAATGTTAATCCTAGTGCCTGGATTATAAATTTAAGCATTCCTGTCACTGATAGATACTTTATGCAACTGAAGTCCATATTCTATTCAGGTCATGGTCACCAGCAGTGTCATTTTCTTTTAAATAAGGCTGAGGAGAGAGTGTTAAGATATACACAACATGATTTTACTACTTCAATTCTATGATCATGAATTTTTAAGTGCCTAGCATTCTGCACACATTTTTATACAGCAAAATCTTAGCATGTTCTATGCATTATTTTATTTTAAATGTTTTACAAAAATCCCGCTGTTTGTCCTAAATGGTATCTTTTTTTTTTTTTCCCCATAGGGAGGGCTGAAAAACAGCAAACATGAGTGCACCCTGTCTTCGCAAGAGTATGTTCACGAATTACGATCTGGTATTTCAGATGAGAAACTTCTTAATTGCCTAGAATCTCTGAGGGTTTCTTTAACCAGCAATCCTGTCAGGTAGGTGGTTCTTAAGTTGTTATGGTATGATTCATACAATTTGTACTGTATATAATTGTTGGGAATATAATCAGTCACATCATTTGAACCTCAAGATTTTTCTGACCAGAAATCTGATATTAGCTAATAAAACAGCAATGTCTGATTATGAGGTGGTAAGCATTTAAAAAATGGAGTTAATCTGATCTCTAATAATGTGTAATTTTAAGAATACAAATATTACTTCGATGTTTGATTCCTCTTTGAGTATATAAACATGGATACAGAAGTTAAATATGCACATTTACATGTAAATCTGTGTACTTAGATAATGATTATTATATATTTATTTGTTAAACAAATTTAGTATATTTGCTCTATGATACTCCTTTTTTAACTTGAGAAGTAAATGTAACTTTACATTCTATAAGTTTTAGATATACGACTCACACATTTCTGTAATTTGGGATAGCAAACATGTAATTATTTTAACCAATAAAAGAAATAAGAGAAAGTATTAATATACTCTTCAAAATTGTTTAAAAGGATTTTTAAACAAGTTCCTTGCCAATGGTGTATTCTAGTAACTGATGTTCCTATATTAACCATAAAAAGCCTTTAAATTAATTACACCAAAATTAAAATGTTTTTACAAGGCAAATAGATTTTCAGTGTAATATGAAAATATTTTGGGATCTACTTACATAATTGCTAGACTCAAGTTCCGAAATTAATGCACAAGGGTATATAGAAATTGTATTTTAATTTTATCCATGTTTTTCTTAATACATAATGGGGTCACGTCTTGTACTTCTCCGACCTAGCCATAGAGCCTTGAAAATAACTTAGAGCTCAGTCATTCTGTTTTTGGATTTATGTATGAATTGAAGTAGACCATTGCCAGTTGACCCTTGAACAACATGGGGGGTAGGGGCGCCCGCCGCCCATCGGCTTGCAATGTGCTAGCGCTTGGCCTAACGTGGCCTCCCAGCGCCAGCTAACCCTTGAACAACGCAGGTTTGAACTGCACGGGTATCCGTAAACCCGCATCGTCAACTATATTTCTATCTATAATGCATTTGGCGGAGAAAACTGGAAAATTATAATTCTACAATAACAATTTTTAAAAAGAAAGCAGTAAGATATTAACTTCCATTTCAGTACAATCATTCAAAGGTCGCTCTCTTGCTATTTCTTCCCGAATGCTTCCGGCTTTAGTGATTAGTGATGTGAACAGGGTGTGAGTTTTTTGAGGCCAGTAA